CCCCCCCCCAATATTGTCTCTTTAAGAATAATGACTTTTCTAAATTTTAAATGTTACTGACATAATTCACATAAAATTCAATCGTTTGATTATATTTAAAAGAATTGTGGAATGATCACCACCACAATCAATTTTAGAACAGTCTTTTTAGTACACTTTATTGTTATTGTTGTTAGGTACCACCCAGTCGGTTTCAAATCATAGCAACCCTATGCACAACAGAATGAAACACAAAACGAAATGCGGAACAAAACAGTGCCTGGTCCTGCTCCATCATCACAATTGTTCCTAGGCCTGAGCCCATTGTTGCAAGCCACTATTGTCAATCCATCTCCCTGAGGACTTTACTCTTTTTCACTACCCCTCTACTTTACCCAACATGATGTCCCTCTCCTGCGACTGGTCTCTCCTGAAATCTTGTGCACAGTATGCTACACAAATCTTGCCATCCTTGCCTCTAAGGAGCACTCTGACCTTACACTTCTTCCAACACACATTGGTTTGTCCTTTTAGTAGTCCCTGGTACTTTCAATTTTCTTCCCCAGCACCACAATTCAAATGTATCCATTCTTCTTCTAACTTTCTTATTCAGTGTTCAACTTTTACATGCATACGAGAGGCCATCAGAAATAGCCTGGCTTGGGTCAGGCACACCTTAGCCCTCAAAGTAACATTCTTGCTTTTCAATACTCTAAAGAGGTATTGTGCAACAGATTTACATAATGCAACAGGTCTTTTGATATCTTCATTGCTGCTTCCATGAGCATTGATTGTGAATCCAAGGCAAGACAAAACCCTTGACAACTTCAACCTTTTCTCCATTATCATGATCTTAATTATTGGTCCAGTTGTGAGGATTTTGGTTTGGTTGTTTTTTACATTAAGTCATGTTCCATACTGAAGGCAGCAGTCCATGATCTTCATCATCAAGTGCTTCAAGTCCTCCTCACTCTCAGCCAGAAAGGTTCTGTCATCAGCATTTTACAGCATCTTAATAGGCCTTCCTCCACATTCTTCATATAACCCAGCGTCTCTGATGATTTGCTCAGCATAGTATGGCGAGAGGATACAACCCTGTTGTGTACATCTTTCCTGATTTAAAACCATTTTCTTGTTCTGTTTTCTGTATTCTCTTGTTCTGTTTATCCAACTGCCTCTTGATCCCTGTACAAGTTCTAAATGAGCACAGTGAAGTGTTCCGGAATTCCCATTCTTAAGGTTATCCACAGTTTGTTGTCATCCACATAGTCGAATGCCTTGACTTAGTCAATAATACCATGTAATTTCTGGCATTTTCTGCTTTCTGGTAGTCTCTGCTTTCAGCCAAGATCTAGCTGACAATAGCACTGATATCCTTTGTTCCAAATCCTCTTCTGAAACGGGCCTGAATCTCTGGCAGCTCACAGTCAAAGTACTGCTACAACCATTGCTAGATGATCTTTAGCAAAATTTTACTTGCATGTCATATCAGTGATATTGTTGTATAATTTGAGCACTCTGTTGGGTCATCTTTCTTTGGGATGAATACTAATACGGATCTCTTCCAGTCAGTTGGCCAAGTAGCTGTCTCCCAAATTTATTGGCAAAGATGAGTGAATACGTCCAGTATTTCATCGGCTTGTTGAAACATTTCAGTTAATTCCATCAATTCCTGGAGCCTCTTCCTTGGTTCTTACCCATATGCTATCTCCTGGAATAGTTGAATGTTAACTAGTTCTTTTTGGTACAGTGGCTCTGC